GGGCTGTTTTGGGAGCCTTGTACATATCACTACCCTGTGACCACAGAGACTTACCCTTAGTAATGTGGAGGTCAGGGTAGAAGTGGCCAAATCCCAGCTAGGAGTCTGTGCAGATCAGATGTGTGCATGCATTCAGGATTGCCTTGCAAAAGCATCACTGCATGGCCAGTCTTTCTCCTTTGGAAAGAGCAGGTACAAGCCATGCCAGGAGCAGGCTGTCAGAATTGCTTTACCAATGAGCTGCTATGGTGAATCCAGATTTCTGCGTTAGCTGCCTCTGGGGAATGTGAAGAACTAGCAGCAAGTTCATCTGGTAGCACAAACCACTGAAATGTTCTCCTAGGACAAAACAGCTGGCAGCCACAATGCTAAGGATACTGACATTCAGATTTATGCGTTTCTGCTTGTTCAGAGGTCCCTGCTGTCTCTAACAGCTGTAGCTTGCTATTATCCATAGGGCAATACTATAAATAATACCTAGTATTTTGAGTGCTCTCTGTCCACAGATCTCAAAGTGCTCTGAGCAAGGTGGATTCCTTATTGACATGGAGAACACCAAGGTTAAGTGATTTGCCCAAAGTAACGTAGGAAATCTATGGCAAAACCAGAAAGAGACATCACTTCCCCCACACTCTTTAATGTATCACAGTCACTGAGCAGGATCCTGAGCTCTGCTCAAGGAGAAGCCAGAGTGGATTGTGGCCGTCTGTACACAAGCAAACAGGATTAATCTGCTAGTAGCAGAATAAATCAACTTCCTATAGAGATTTTGGTATGTATCTATGTATCTGTTGGGGTGTATGTGTTTGTGTTTATTCACTTTCCTCACAGCACAGGGCCCAGACTTTTAGGGGAGAGCTTCTGCCCCGTGGGTCATCTCAAAGGGGAAATCTTGTGTTTCAGGCAATCCAATGAGAATCCCATTTGGCAAATGAAGGGAGCTAAATTCTGTTCCCCATCATAAAAGCAGTGACGGTCTTTAGATCATAGAATCATAGAATGATTCTATGATAGATGCTGTGTACACGTAACATTTTGCAGCTGTGGTTCTCATTGGCAATCTCTTAAGCCTGATAAAGACCTCAACTTATAGCAAGAAGTCTCCTACGAGTGTTAATTACTTTTTTCTTTTTTCTTTTTTTTTTTTTTGCAGTTTCCTCCTTATTTTCATGTTTGAGTCTCTTTTCACGCGAGTAGCTAGACTGATAGACTGATACAGGCATGTTAACAACAGAAAATGTGTCTGATGCAGTTTGGCTTTTTTTAGACACTTCATGCATAAATACAATGAGTAGAAATTTTATGGTCCTATAAATCAGGTAAACTGGTTTTTTTTTTACTGTCTTCCTTCATTTTAAGGGCTTCCCCTTCAGCAGCCTGAAATACATAGTGGTTTAGACCAAGCCATATTAATACACCAGTGAATTCGAAGTCTGAGGAATGCAGCTAGATAATTGGTTTGGAACAAGAGTTCTATAGAGGTAAGTGACTTGAAAAAACAGAATAGATATTAAATTGATGTGCAGCCTGCACTAAGTAGCTCTAGAAACTACTTTCACACCTCGTTTCAATAATGAATGAGATGTAAATGAAATGAGCACACTGGAGACACTTTAGTTCGGCTCTGTGTATGTTCAGCTTCTCCAAGACTGCCTACTGTCATTCCCCTGTGGTCTGTGGGGCTGCTGCTTTGTGGAAGATCCTTAGCAAGAGCTAAAGGACTCATGTACTACAACTTAGGAAGAGTCTTTTGCATGTGTCACTTAGGAGAGAGTGTTGATTGGACTCAGTATGTATTGATCAAGCGAAGTCCAGTAAGCATCACTGAGAAATTAACTCGGGTAAGGAGCTATCGTTGCCAAATGTTGTGTTTAGAAAGTGCCTCAAGCATTTAAAAAAAGCTGTTAGGGATTAATTTGTTTAGTCCTTGAAAGCCCAGAAACTCTTGTTGCATCTCTCTGTATGTTTATTGTAGTACCATGTCCTTCTCTCCATGCACAGCGTTAGAGTACTGCAGCAACACAGCTTACTGCCTGTAGTACAATGCCTGCCATATAAAACCCATTCTATAGTACTGCTAGCCCATGCTATCAGTACACAAGATATTGTGGTTTGCAGTAGGAGAGGCTTGTGTCCTGCAGGAGAGTTACATGGTGCCAACCTGAGGTCCCTGCACAGGGGCAGCAGGGCTAATTGTTCTTCACTGCCATGTCTGGCCCCAGAATGAGCGGCCTCCTGGGGATGGGTAGGAGACCAAGAGAGCTCTAAAACAAGTTAGGATATCACTTGTGAAGTGCTGAGGAGGTAGGATTTGTGTCCTGATTCCAGTTCATTTCTCACTGTTTGGAAACTCACAGGAGGAGCCGCCTTGCACTTAACACCAGGCATATGTTTAAGCACTTTTCTGAATAGGTGTTTGGTCCAACAGCCATCATCTTCCTCATGCATAAATAGAGCCTCTTTCCTGTGAGACTACTGAGTATTAGTGTGCTGTTTGGCTTCTTGGTGAAAGCTTTAATAGATGAAGTTCAAAAGTGGCAGCAATAAGGGCCTGGGAAGAGCAGGGTGCCTGGTACATCATGCCCATAATCTGATTTGATATGAAGACCTCTGTCAACAAATCCTTCATTATGCAGGCTTCCTGCTCCAGCTCTGTGAGGAACAGCAAATTAAGCAGCCCACATATGTAATATTAATG